CCTCTACTGCCGACCCGTCGCTGTTTCTGCGCACCGACACTTCTTTGCCGCCGTTCTACATCCTCGTGTACGTCGACGACTTGGTCTTTGCCACAGCTGACACTGCTGGACTCGCCCACGTGAAGTCCGAGCTGCAGAAGAGACACACGTGCACAGACCTGGGTGAACTGCGCGGCTACCTTGGCTTGCAGATCACCCGGGACAGAGCACGCCGCACCATTACCCTGACTCAGTCACACATGGTGCAGCAGGTCCTTCAGCGCTTCGGCTTCACGTACTCCTCGCCTCAGGCCACTCCTCTGCCTACTCGCCACTCGCTCTCAGCTCTGCCTTCGGATGAGTCCGTAGAGTCGAGTGGCCCGTACCCAGAGCTTGTTGGCTGCCTCATGTACCTGATGACCTGCACACGACCTGACCTTGCGTACCCTCTTAGCATTCTTTCACGCTATGTTGCTCCTGGGAGACACAGACCGGAGCACATGGCTGCAGCGAAGAGGGTGTTGCGCTACTTGTGCAGTACGTCGGGCATGGGGCTTGTGCTTGGAGGGCAGAGTCCAGTGGTCCTCACTGGGCACGCAGACGCTTCTTGGGCTGACGACCAGGCTACGCAGCGGTCGTCACAGGGTTACTCCTTCAGCCTTGGTTCCGGCTCTGTTTCGTGGCGGGCTACCCGCTCGTCTTCTGTTCTCGGCTCCAGTTGTGAGGCTGAGATCTACGCCGGGGCCATGGCTGCACAGGAGCTTCGCTGGCTCACCTACCTGCTGACTGACCTCGGAGAGCCGCCTCGTTCTCCTCCAGTGCTGTACGTAGACAACAAGGCCATGCTGGCCTTGTGTCGAGAGCAGAGACTGGAGCACAGAACGAAGCACATTGCTCTCCGCTACTTCCTTGCTCGTGAGCTACAGCAGCGTGGTCAGCTGCGGCTTGCGTACGTGGCCTCTGAGGCCAACACTGCTGATATCTTCACCAAGGCACTTGCGCCTTGTGATCATCAGCGCTTCTGTACTCAGCTTGGTCTTGTGCCTACCTTGCCTCACTTGCTCACCCCTTGACCTTGTTTGTACTGTTGCATATATATATACACCTGCTCTTGCTTGTCTAGTCTTATATATATATATACATATATATATATATGCTATCCTGCATGTGAACTGGCCTTGTGGCCTTGAACTTGTGCTCGGAATGTGTGGTGACTTTGTGATCCACCCTGAGCTTGTTTTGCTTTGCTTGACTGGTCTTGTGACCCCTTGTTCTCCCCCACTTTGCCTATGGGGGTGTGTCAGATTTATATGACATAGCTACTGTAGGCTATAGTGGGGTAGCACATATGGGGTACAGTTTTCTAGGGTTTGCTTTTTGTACCCAACTTTCACTTAGTCATTTCATTCCTGTTTTCTTAATTCACAAGAGCATGCTACCATCTCTGCCCTGAAAACTGTTCTCTGTTCACCGCCCGTACTGCGCATTGCTGACCCACACCGCCCATTCGAAGTAGTTACAGACGCCAGCGACATCGCCATCGGAACCGTACTGCTACAGGACTTCGGCAACGGCCTGTAGCCCATCGCATACGAGTCACGAAAACTGCATCCGCCTGAGAAAAATTACCCGATACACGAACGCGGAATGCTCGCGATCGTGCACGCATTCAAAGTGTGGCGCTGTTACTTGACCGGCGCAGACGTGACAGTACGGACAGACCATAAATCACTACAGTACCTCCGTGCACAGCCCCACCTCAACCCACGACAGATCCGTTGGCTCAAGGAGCACCACTTTGTGGTGGGAGACATTACGAGGCAGCAGTTACCTCGAGTCCAATTTTCACTACACGGTCACCTACAAAAAAGGGGCATCGAACATCGCCGACGCACTGACCCGCCCCACTGCCCAGATCCATGCAATACTACTCGCCCAGTCCAGCCCACTACTGACAGGCCTATTTACCCACGGGTACCAAACGGATCCATTCTTCACAGGAGGAAATTCGCAGCAGCTCGCAACAGCAAAGGGAGTTTATTACGTAAAAGCCGGGACCGACCGCATCTGGGTACCAGGGTACACACTGCTACGGGAATTACTGTTACAGGAGGCACACGACGGAGTTACCTCGGGGCATTTTGGGGTAGATAAAACACGGCAGCAGCTGCAGCGGTATTATTACTGGCCCGAAATGTTGACCGACATTCAACGACACGTGGCATCATGTCCCACTTGCCAGATCATGAAATCATCACGGAAGCGGCTGGCAGGACAATTGCAGCCGATACCACCCCCAGAGCGTGCTTGGCAGCAGATGACGATGGACTTCGTCACGGGGTTACCGGCCGGAGCGAGTGGGAACGACGCGATCCTGGTCGTCGTCGATCGACTGACGAAAATGGCATACTTCGCAGCCTGCAAAAAATCAATCACAGCCGAAGAAACAGCTCGCGTCTTCATCTCCACCGTCGTTCGACTGCACGGGATACCAGCAGCGATCATCAGCGACCGCGACACGAAATTCACAAGCAACTTCTGGCGGAACTTGTGGCAACAGTTCGGCACACGGCTACAGTTCAGTTCTTCGTACCACCCCGAGAGCGACGGACAGACAGAAAGGACAAACCAAACCATGGAGCAACTCATCCGAGCAACGTGCGACGATCCAACCACCTGAGAACAGCAGCTGCCACTCATCGAGTTCGCGTACAACAACTCGCCTTCCGCCACGACCCAACAGTCACCGTTTTACCTAAACTACGGACAAGACCCGACAGTACCCATGACTCCGAATCCCAACAATCCGGTGCCACAAGCGTAACGGTTCGTCGAAATTTTACAAGCCGCACCAACCCGGGCAGCAGACGCGATTAAAAAATCAAACATCATCGCTAAACGCAACGCCGACCGCCACTGCCGACCTGTCACTTACCATCCCGACGACCTAGTATTACTTGACACCCAGAACCTCCGCCTGCCCATTACCCCAAAACTCCGCCCTCGATATTGTGGGCCATTTCGCATCAGCCACATGATTACACCCGTCACCGCCCACCTCCTCCTCCCCATTGACTGGTACGTCAGTCCGTCTTTTCACGTCAGTCTGCTTCGCCCCTACGTACCATCCACAAGCCAACTGCCCCGCAACCGCCCAGCCAGCATGACACGACCGCCGACCGAGCCAATCATCACGCCCGAGAAGATTCTGAGCCACCGAGTTCGTGACCCACGAGGAGCCCGAAGGATCGAATTCCTGATCCGCTGGAAAGACCGTACACCCACCGAAGACAACTTGGTTCCCCTGGATAGAATCGAAAACCACCCCGTCCTCACCGAGTACCTGTGTAGCCGAAATTTCCGGGATGTACACGCGCTTTCGTAAGGAGGGCCTCCTTAAGGAGGGGGGGGGGGGGGGGGGGGTAGTGTAAGGAAAAATTCCTTTTCCTTACTTCGCGTCCCTGCTCAGCGCGTACACCACTGTTCCCGCCAACAGCACCCAACAGTAAAGCGTTACCACTCGCGACATTCGCCTCGACACTATTCCCGCCGCTGTTCACAACGCGACCCAACCTTACGGTTCGGTTGGTAACCCGCGCTCCTGATCTCCGCCTCGGCAATTCCCAACCTCGGCGCCAGGCCCGTCGCGCACCCCATTTTCACGCATTACCGTTACCACTATAGTTTCGCTATATATTATTCGCTCATGCCTTCGCTCATTGTACTCTTGCTTCGATAGTGCAATTCTCGCCCGATCACTCAATTGCACTCGTAACAGTACTTCACACCCGTTTTCGCACGAAATCCGAGCAATTCTCTCATACTACCGTGTATATTCTATAGTACCCACCAAATACGAAAAACACATTCAACTTTCGCATTTAGCTTCGTCTTTCCACTTCCTGTAGGAGGAACCTAACAGTGGTGTAGTGCATGAAACCATGGAATGTGCAGTTGGTTCATGTATATGGTGGATGCAGGTCATGTCTCGCAGTGGAAAGTGTAGCTCATATAATACAGGCAAAACATTTCATCAGACTCGACTCTTTTATCCTACTTGTCGTTTGGACCATCTTGAACCCACTTGCCAAAAATATAGATACCCTTAGATACACTACTCTCGGAGCTTCTACTCTCTTCTGGATCACTCTCTTGAGCCGCCACTTCGACTCTCCCCGCTAAACTTCCATCTCCCACCCCCGGTGCCGCTTCCATAGCATCCCCAAGTTGAAATATTCTCTTAACTGACTCTTCCAACGGGACTGGAGCAAACGTGCCTCCTGACGATCCGGGATTGCCATGAAAGGCACCGTGAGAGGAGGCCTGGCGTGGGGGAGCGTTGTCAGGCTTGCTCAGAGAGAACAGAGTGGCTAAGTCGGCAGAAGGCACGCGTACAGGCGCACGGGCGGGGGCAGATGTGCCGATAGCTGGGTCGCCAGGCAGGGGCATGGACCCATGGGAAGAGGGGTTGTGTGCTGGCATGGGCATGGGCATGGGTATGGGTATGGTTATGGGTTCGGATTTGGGCTTGGGAAATTGCATGTGCATGGGTATGTGCATGGGCAATTGCGTGGGCGACGATGCTATGTGCATGTTGGTGGCCAATGGGGCGTCCTGAGCAGGGCTTGCTGCATCCATGCCACCGTGTGTTGCCATTGCCACCTGTGCTTGCGACAACCCCAGGTGTGTTGGCGGTGTCGCCAGGTGACTTGTCAGGTGTGTGTGAGGCATCGCCAGGTGTGTAGCCAGGTGCGTTGCCACAAGTCCTTGCGCCCATGCACTCCGGGGGACTATGGATCGTTCCGACGACAGCGGGATCACAGGGAGCGGCAGAGAGAGCGAGCCTGCCCCCGATGCACCGCTTTGAGTCGACTCAAAACGCGGGAATCTGGAGCGGTCCGATGACAGCGGGATCAAAGGGAGCGGCAGAGGAAGCGAGCCTGCCAATGATGCACTGCTCTCCCATGCAGGTGCACTGCTCGCTGCTGCTGCTGCTGCTGCTGCTGTCGCTGCTGTTGTTGCTAGTGCTGCTGCTGCTGCTGCTGCTGCTGCTGCTGGTGCTGCTGGTGTTGCAGCGGGGAGTTGGCTGGTGGAAGCGGGAGTTGAGGGGAGAGGCGTGGGGAGTGGAGGGCGGGAGGGCAAGCCGAGGAAAAGGTTGTGCAGGAGAGGGATGGGATGGAATGGAGGGGAGGCCATGGGAGGGGGTGATGAACGAGGAGCAGCAGACAGGGGTTGCTGCTGCTGCTGCTGCTGCCAGTGCTGCTGCTGTTGCTGCTGCGGCAGCGGAAGCGGCACCGACGGCGGCTGCTCTTTCTCCTCTCGTTTCTGCTGCTGCTGCTGCTGCTGCTGCTGTTGCTGCTGAAGGAGTTTCTCTCGCTGGCCCTCTGGCCAGCTCGCATGGAGGCGGGCCTTCTTGTCTACGTGCTCACCACACCAATCTCCTTCTTGCCTCTCAACATCAGAGCAAACAAGCGCCATCTGTTTATCACTACTACTATCAAGCCTACCATCATCAAGCCTACCACCATCAGGACTAAAAGGCTGGGAGAGAGCAGACTGTTCCCTCCTGGTCGTCCTCTCCTCTTCCCTTGTGTGCCTCTTCCCGTCCAAGCTCTCTTCTCCCTGTTCCTTCTCTCTGCCTTCGCCTCTGGCCGTTCCTAGGGGGACCACCCCCGCTTGCGCCCTGGCCGAACCATTCCGCAAGGCGTGGCTGCATCGCCCGAGCCGTCCCGGGAGGCCCGGGCCGGACCCGCGGTTCTGGCTTGGGTGGCTGCGCCTGGGTTGAGCGGCAAAAAGTGGCTGCTGCTGCTGCTGACCGTGGTTTGAGAAACGGGTAGAGGTCTGGGTGAAGGGAGGTGAACGGGGGAGTGGGGACGAAAGGCTATGGAACACTCGAGGGGATGTGGTGGCGAGAGGTAGAGAGGTATGGGGATCGTCTGACAGGTCAAGAGCAGCAGCAAGGCAATCCGTGAGGGCTGCTGCGGCTGCTGCTGCATCGTCAGGAACAGGCGTACGAGCAGTAGCAGCAGGAGCAACATGCGCAGCAGCAGATGCAGCAGTAGGGGGAATCGGAGAGGGAGCAGCAGGAGGAGGAGGAGGGGGAGTAGAAGCTTGGTGGGGAGTAGAGGCAGCAGTGGGAGGCACGGACGCAGGTGAAGGTGCGTTCACACTCGCGGGAGATGAGCAGGCTGCAACAGAGGCAGGAGAGGCTGCAACAGAGGCAGGAGAGGCTGCAACAGAGGCAGGAGAGGCTGCAACAGAGGCAGGAGAGGCTGCAACAGAGGCAGGAGAGGCTGCAACAGAGGCAGGAGAGGCTGCAACAGAGGCAGGAGAGGCTGCAACAGAGGCAGGAGAGGCTGCAACAGAGGCAGGAGAGGCTGCAACAGAGGCAGGAGAGGCTGCAACAGAGGCAGGAGAGGCTGCAACAGAGGCAGGAGAGGCTGCAACAGAGGCAGGAGAGGCTGCAACAGAGGCAGGAGAGGCTGCAACAGAGGCAGGAGAGGCTGCAACAGAGGCAGGAGAGGCTGCAACAGAAGCAGGAGAGGCTGCAACAGAAGCAGGAGAGGCTGCAACAGAGGCAGGAGAGGCTGCAACAGAGGCAGGAGAGGCTGCAACAGAAGCAGGAGAGGCTGCAACAGAAGCAGGAGAGGCTGCGACAGAAGCAGGAGAGGCTGCAACAGAAGCAGGAGAGGCTGCAACAGAAGCAGGAGAGGCTGCAACAGAAGCAGGAGAGGCTGCAACAGAAGCAGGAGAGGCTGCAACAGAAGCAGGAGAGGCTGCAACAGAAGCAGGAGAGGCTGCAACAGAAGCAGGAGAGGCTGCAACAGAAGCAGGAGAGGCTGCAACAGAAGCAGGAGAGGCTGCAACAGAAGCAGGAGAGGCTGCAACAGAAGCAGGAGAGGCTGCAACAGAAGCAGGAGAGGCTGCAACAGAAGCAGGAGAGGCTGCAACAGAAGCAGGAGAGGCTGCAACAGAGGCAGGAGAGGCTGCAACAGAGGCAGGAGAGGCTGCAACAGAAGCAGGAGAGGCTGCAACAGAAGCAGGAGAGGCTGCAACAGAAGCAGGAGAGGCTGCAACAGAGGCAGGAGAGGCTGCAACAGAGGCAGGAGAGGCTGCAACAGAAGCAGGAGAGGCTGCACCACCACTACCACCACCACCACTAGTGGCAGCGGCAGTGGCAGCGGTAGAGGCAGAAGCAAAGGCAGTAGCATTAGTGGGATGGGCAGCAGTTGGGTTGACAGTGGGAGGAGAAGCCACACCGGTGCTTCGGCTACTGCCAACTGATACCCACGTGATGTTTCCTCCCTCTCCCCCTCCTCTCTCACCTCCTCTTTCACCTCCTCTCTCACCTCCTCTTTCACCTCCTCCTCTCTCCACCCCACCTCTCACACTGCAACCTCTCTCAATCATTCTCCCTCTCTCACGCCCCCCTCGCTCACGGCCCCCTCTCTCCCACCCCATTGCAGCAGTCATAGTGGCAACTCGTCGAAGGCCTCTCAGGGCGAGTATGCGTGCTGCTGGTGCTGCTGCTGCTGCTGCCGGTGCCACTGCTGCTGCCGGTGTTTCTGTCCGTGTTGCTGCTGCTGCTGCTGCTGTTGAAGACGAGAGCAAGAGAGACGGCGATGAGGAAGCAGACGTAAGACACACGGATGATGGCGATAGGGATGATGATGGGGAGGAGCATGAGGAGGTTGGGAGCAGCGGTAACCGGCTGTGCGCTGGTAACCGCTGCGCTGGCTCGGTGGGAACCAGAGTTGGATGGAAGTGGGGGGGGGAAGGTACGTCTGGGAATGGCGTGGTGCTGGGTGAACCAACAGGAGTCTCCTTTCCTTCCGCTGCTGCTGCTGCTGCTGCTGCTGCTGCTGCTGCTGCTGCTGCTGCTGCTCCTGCTGCTGCTCCAACTGCTGCTGCTAACATCCCTGCACCACCTGAGGGTGCTGGCCGAGAGCCTGGTGTTTCTCCAGGTGAAGGGAAGGACTCGACGTGGGCGGCGATGTTCGGCCAGGAGGAGCGGCGCTGGGCGGCAAGAGTGCGGGGGAGGGAGCCGTGATGGAGGGAGTGAGAAAGGGAGTGTGCGACAGGGGTCGCACCACCACTCGGAGAAGAGAGGCGATTTCCTAGAGTGAAAAAAACAGCAGCAGAGGCAGAGGCAGTTGCGGAGGCAGAGGCAGAGGCAGAGGGAGGGGTATAGCCAGGAGCCGAACCACAAGCCGAAGCTGTGACCGAACCAGGCGTGGGGACGCGAGAGGGGGCAGAGGCAGAGGAGGGGAACAGCGAGGCGGGGTAGGGGAGGTGGGCTTGCGGGGCCGTTGCAGGGGAGGAGGAGGAGGAGAAGGCGATGGGCGAGGGATCAGGAGTGGCCCCTCCCACCATGTCTCGAGGTAAGAGCAAGGCGAGTTCTGGCCGCACTTCCAGCTTCTTGCACTGCTGACGTGGCGGCGGCACGGTGCTGGTGTTGGGCGGCACTGTGCTGGTGTTGGGCGGCACTGTGCTGGTGTTGGGCGGCACAGTGACGTAGTCATGATCAAGGATCGCAGATCTTGCTGCAGCAGAAGAAACGAGATGAGGCATGATTTCGTCCTTTTCAGCGCTCCCGTCGTGTCCGTCGCTCTTGCCCTGCTTGTCGTCACGCCATTCGCTGCCACCAGCAGCAGCAGCAGCAGTACCAGCAGCAGCGGCAACGTCAGCTGGTCGCAGCAGGCTTGTTCGGGGATACCACGCCTCTAAACCCCTGAACCCCGCGCCACTCAAGCCACCATTTTCGCCGATTCCGCCAATTCCGCCACCACCACTGCCACCGCCGCCACTGCCACCGCCGCCACTGCCACCGCCGCCGCCGCCGCCGCCTCCGCCACTCAAGCCTTGCGCGTTTTCGCCTCCTGCAGGCGCGAATCCCGCGCTACCACCCTGCCACATCCGCGTCACGCGCCGCCTGGGGCTCCACGTTCCCGCGGCGGCTCCGCTTGAGCCGGCAGTCCCGGCGGCCGCGCTTTCCCGCTCCGCCTCCCGCTCACGTTTTGGAAACAGCCCGCCGTTTCCGCTCCCCCCTCCCCAGTTGATTCCGCCGACGGCAGCGCCGCTACTGGGGCTGGTATAAGAGATCGGGAGATTCATGGCAACGGCTGCGGCCGCCGCGGCGGCGGCGCTGGTGACAGAGAAAAGCGGCGGCGGCGGCGGCGGCGGCCATGCAAGCGGCAGCCCGAGGCTGTTTGGTGTCGGGATCGCGGCGCCGCCAGTCACGTACCCCTCTCCCCATGGGGCGGCCGTCCTGGTATCGGGATCGACCGCTGGACCGCCGCCGCCACCGCCGCCGCCGCCGCCGCCGCCGTCGACGTCGCGACTTTCAGTGAAAGCATCGAGCGCCGCTTGAATCACGGCAAGATCGCGTAGCGCTTGTCGCGGCGACTGCGACGCCGCCGCGGCCGCCTGTGCGAAGTCCTGTGATGGTGACGGTCCTACCGACGGACCTGCTTGCAACGCGGACAAGTTGTCGGAGCTGAAGCTCAGTCTGAGGTTGACCGCCCGCGGCGCCGGCGCCGCCGGCTTCGTCGAGTAGTCCTCCTTAGCAAGGTGGCGCCCCGTCGAGTCACTGCCGGCGGCGCCGGCTCGAGCCGCGACGGATCTGGAGATTCTTGGAGCCGTTGGCCACTCCGATTGGGTGGGCATTTTTCGCCGCGAATCCCGCCGCGACTGCTTCAAGGTAAGCGCCGCGACATCCGGCGCCGGCGCCGCATCTGGCCAGCTGGTAATAAATTGCGACGGCTGCTGCGACTGGTGCGACTGCTGGAGCGATGACGCGAACGTCGCCGACCAGGACGGTCGGCCAGCGGGGTCGTTGCTGCTAGTAGTACCGCCAGTGACCGCCGTCGCCGCCGCGGCCGCCGCAACCGCAACGTCATTTCTCGAATCGGCATCGGCCGCAGCTGCTGCGCGGCCGAATTGAGTTGCGTCGCTCAGCCTCAAGCCGCCGCCGTGGGTTTGCCGGTGGTCGTGCGACGCGTCGCCCATGCTGTCGCGTATCGCTCATGCGACACCGGAGTCGAGTGGAGTCGCGTGGAATTCCGTTCAGTCGCGCCTACCAGATTACGTACTAGGAAGGATTGCCGCGTGACTGCGTCTCCAGCTGCCGTCCCGAAGTAGTATCCCAGCTAACACAGACTTCAAAAGTCGTCTACACTCCCGAGCCGCTATTACTAGCGGGTCGGCGCTGGTCACTCGCAACCCACATCTTCAGCGAGTCGCACAAGGAAATTCGACGAGATTTTAACTCCTGGGCTGACAAATTCTTCCAAACAAAACTCTCGACTCCAAACTCGGAGCTCGGAGGTCGCGTACGCGTTAAACTGTGTGAGAGGACTCGGAAACGACTGCTTCTCGCGGAGGTAACTTCCGCAGAGCAAACTGCCAAGAGTATATAACTACTACTAGAGATGTGACCGGAAGAGCAATATTCGAGAAAGAGCCTTCAAAACTCGGGAGGTCTTACATGTAACCAGGTCGGGTCGGGTGCACCACGACCATCACAGGGCCCTTTCCCGGGGAAGAATGTCCTTGCTTGAAGCTCATTTCTCGTCGTGTCGTCGGATCGGAGGAGACACAATGGCGGAGAGCAGCAACGGGGAAAGGCGAGGCGTAAACCAAAGCACGACTACAGTGTACTGTACACAGTCTTAGTGTACTGTACTAGCAGCAATGGCCCGCGTTTTTTTCATCCCGTCGCGCGTGGAACTTTGTTTATGAGAACTGTAGGGGCGGCATTGGATTGTGTCGCCTCGTCGCGTTGGCCACTCATCCTACAGGCAGGCAGTGTCTCGTTCGGCAGTCCTTGGGAAAAAAATGAAAATAAATAAATAAAAATCTCCAAGCCCACAGAGTCTCTTTCTCATCTCCATCAAGTAGCCCAGCTCGAGTCTCGCGGTGATTTTCCACAGGATGGTCAGTGTACGCGGCTACACGAAGCCGACAAAAGCTAGAAGATCGAGAGAAGTATCGGAGCGCGCATGCGCAACCAGCGTCGCACTCCCTGCTTCCTAGCTGGATGCCTGTAATCATTGCTCGTACAGCAGAAGTGTCCCTTTCGCGCCAAAACTGGAGGTGGTGGTGAAGCGGGATGCTCGTCAGTGATAGGCGGCACGAGCAAGAGTGGAAATGCGTCTCGAGATCTTCTTCGTGCGGGAAGTAGTGAGTACGAAGCAAAACATTTTGCATTTCGAGTGGTGCAGCGCCGCAGTTCGATCCGCAGCGCTCTGGTCTGGGTCTCCCCACGGGAAGAGCACGCGAGACGAAAGGAAAGACGAAGGGAGTGGCCGTGAGAATGTGACAAGCGCAGAAATGATGGATGCTGCGCACCAGCCAACAACAGAAGCAAGAATCCGAGTCTCTCTATCTTACCGCAACGCAAAGATGGCTGCTGAAACATTCAAGCGACAGAAGCAAGGAAGCAACCGAACCAGGAAAAGCAGCAGAAACGGAAGGCGGTGGAGTGAGTGACCTCGCGAAATGATTCGTTGTCCAGTTGCATCATTCAATGGTGGCAGCAGCCACATTTCGCACTCGTGCACCAAACCCGGAGGTGATCCAGCACTTCGATTTCCTCAAGCAGTTATTGGCTGTTTTGTTCCTCTGTGCTCATTTTTCACCGCCAGAGATATTTTTCGGGCAGAACGAACGACCCCATGGAAAATATGTGAAATCATGTCATGCTGAGCAGATACAACACTGCCGATAAACTCTCGAATCTGTGACAAGCGTGCGAGGGAACGGGCGGCTTGAGAAGGGACGCTCTTGGAGCAATCTAACAGACAGGCAGGCGTGGCTGCACGCGTTAGTTGCACATAGAACCGAGGTCTCGGGAGTGTTTTGTCGCGTTCTAACAATTGTCAACCAACATCAAGATGCTGGGCACTGTACACTGTGACTAACGGACGTCGACAAACAACGTTGACGTCTCTTCTCGACGTCCGTCGAGAAACACTTGGCAGCTACAGTAACATCCGACCAAGTTCACACGATGCCCTATAGGAATCCTTGTTTATGACTGTTGAGTGCAGCTAACAAACTAAGATGGCCATAAGGTATGTAACCCTCCCTCTGGATATTTCTTTTTCCCCTCGGATGGATGCCAGAATTATACTGGCTGATTGATATTTTTTCATGCCAATAGCTCTGAGAATTTGAGAAAAACAAAAAACTTTTATTACAAGTGAGTGAGCCTCATAGGGTATGACATAGCCAAAATGTGTACGAGTCCCATTAGGCCTGTGATAGAGAATGTAACGCTGCCTGACAAACGTTTCTCGAAGTCTACAGGATCATTGAATAGATTAAGCCGTGGGGGCACAACTAATCGTTCGTCTACCTACATTGATGATTTACATGTTACTGGAATTACATTACCAAATGGTTTTCTTGGAGGTGTAAGACTTACGAATCAAGCAATAGTGGGTACGGCGTGGGATCTCCACGTGCCCTCCTGTGCAGAATTCTTCGCCACGCACAATCTCTGCATGCTCTCGCGACTCGACTGATCACCTAACGAGCCGCGTGCATGTGGCCCGCCCAATTGCCCCGCTTCCACAGTTTCAGCTGCTCCCTAACTCTCGCCTGTACAAAAAGGGAGCCAATTCTTCTACCACTGATCGTGTGACGTTGCTTCTTCCGCCCAAGTTTGCTTCTGATTACAACTCTCAGTTCCGTAGCCATGTCGGGAGCTTACGAGCAGGCACAGGAGATCAAGAAGGCTTCACCGGAGGAGAAAGAGGTAATTCCGAACTTCAGTTCAAGAGTGAGGCGCTCGGTTACACATTCAGTGTTGCACCAGCAAATTATTTATCCCTTCGCATTTTACATTGTCAGAAGTTTAGCAACTAGTTGCAAGAATACAGAATATGGCCTCTAACATTCGGTCTTGGTTGGAATCGTATCCGCGTTTGCAGGAGCTTGAGCAGCGAGTGAAGGAGGGGGAGACCGTGGTCCAGGGGGGCACTGGAGGAAAATCTCTGGAAGCTCAAATCCACCTTGCCGAAGGTAGGTGCAACGACTGACAGCATCACCATTTCTGGAACGCTGGAGTCTTTTTGGTCGTAGCTCGGTCTCCACAAACTTCAGTCATCCTGATTTGATTTTTATTTTCTTTCAGGGAGGGCCAAGGGAGGGCGCTCACGAGCGGAGGATCTAGGGCGGGAGGGGTACCAGGAGATGGGACGCAAGGGAGGATTGTCTACCATGGAGAAGAGCGGCGAGGAGGCTGCCAAGGAGCAGGGCATTGAGATTGACGAGTCCAAGTACCGCACACAGCCCAAGGAGTAGGGTGGTGGAAAAAGGTTGGTTCTGCGGGGACTGCTGATCCAATTGGAAGTGGGGATTCTTGTATAGTTAGTCTGGACCGGTATCCAGCTCTGGAATATATAAATGTTGCTTGTACAGTGAGATAGAGCAATTACTTCCTGAAACGTGTGGACGATACATAGCACCGTGGGAAATAAGAACTACCCTAATTATCTAGCTACCTCTCTAGCTACCTCTCGTCACAGCTTCAGCTTCCATGTAACAGACACTTGGCCTGTCCACCGACGACCTTGCAGGTCTTCTTCCCACCGCATAGCACAGTAGCGCAAGGATCTGAATGAAACGTTGTGGTGACAAAACAAAATCCGATTCAGCACACACATTCTTCATATACCAACAGTGCCATACAAGATGACAGTTCGCAGAAACATGGACACATGCCGACGTATCATCCAGCTAAATAAATGGTACTGCTCCAAGGTACGATTCATTTGAGATGTGAATATTGCTGCCGATTATTTACTCACTCTTGCATTCGCCGTCGATGAGAGTGAAACCACGAGGGCAGACACACGTGGCGGCACCGGAAACCACGTTGCAGCGGGAAGTCGAGGGACAGCGCACTTTGCTGCAGGAGGTTGGAGCTGGTAGAAACAACGAACGTAATACATCCAAACAAGATGGGATGGGAGTTATAGATTACGTCTAATAACGTGTATAACTGTACGCTTTCAAACATGTAAACTACGAATAAAATCGGAAGTGTAGTGTAAACTTTGACGTACCAACACATTGCGTCCCCTTGAGCACTTGAGGAGGCGGGCAAACGCACTCGATCTTTCCGCGCACCGCCTTGCACGTGGTGCCGCCGGGGCACTTGGTCGTCAGACAGCGGTCTGGACAAAGCGCACACGTAGCAAGAGTGTAATGATAGGGCAATTAACGCGATCGGTGAGTATATCGATAAGATGTTCATGAGCAGAGAGGGACCGTTGCTGATGGGGATAACGGAACGGATAAGCGACTGCCAAAAGAGCACGGATAGACGCTGTCAGGGAGAGACATGCTGGAATATACAGGAAAGTGGAGATAGAACGGGAGATGGAGTCATAGGAGTGGATACTCACCCTTGCACTCGTTACCGTCGAGGTAGAACGGCGGCCGGCACACGCAGTTGGCCGTGCCATTGGTCACCTTACATGCGAAATTGACGGCACACGTGGTGGCCGCGCACAGGTCTGCGAAACGAGAGGCACGAAAAGACGCCAAGCAATGAATGACTCGACGGGTATATAAACCGAGCGGGTAGAGAGGTGACGGTACGGATCGCGCAACAGAAGAGCAGCGAGCGAGAAAGGAAGCAAGGATCAACAGCAGGCAGACCTGAAGGACCAGCGCGACGCAGTTCTGAATGAGCAGCGTCGCAGTTTCACGGGATTTGCACACACCGAAGAAGCACTCACCGAAGCACACGTTGTTGCGGAGCACGAGGGGAGGCGGGCAGACGCACTTGACCTTGTCCCGCACCACCTTGCACGTGGTGCCGCCGGGGCACTTGGTCGTCAGACACAGATCTGGCAGTGGCGGCAGCAAAGAAGGAGACCAGTACAGCGTAGGTTATTAGGGGTTACTGGGCACCATCATGTTACTGCCAGTGATTTTGTTGCACGTTGCACAGTGCATGCAGCACCGCGATTCTATGCGAATTCAAGCCGTAAGGCAGCTCACCTCTGCACTCGTCCCCGTCGAGGTAGTACGGCGGCTCGCACACGCACCGCGCGGAACCGTTCACCACCTTGCACTTGCGGTTCGTCATGCACCGCACCGCGGCGCATTGATCTGCCATCATGTCATGGTGGAGACGAGGGAGAGTCGTAGTTAAGTAGGGGAGAGTAAAGGGGGAGTGAAGATGCGCTGAAGAGCTCGTTTGGGGAAGGGGTTTGTGGAGCAGGAGAACCAAAACCGTAGGGATGTACGACATCCTTCCTAACATCAAACACGGCGCAACGGCACGTCAAGTGCCTTCAGCGAGTCCCGAAAAATGGTGTAGAGGCTGGTGGAGAGAAGGGGTTTACGCACCAGGGGTCGCCGCTGCTGTCGCATGGGTCGCACATGCGACAGTGAGGAGGACGGCCGCGAGAACGATCGAAAGAACGAGGCGCGAGCGCGAAGCCATGACGTGATGACGGGCGAGTGGTAACTGTCTCGATACTATCGGATACAAGCTCGAGTAGTTACAGGGCGAATGTGAAGCTCAAAAGTGCGTGCAGCCTGTAAGCTCTCAATCGTGTCGGATCAGAAAGTATACTTTAGGCTGCGGTAATCGGCGATGCCAACAGGGGATGTAAATGACGATGACGAGAACTGGTGTGGCAAGAGGTGGCATATATAGTTTACATTCCCGAGGCGCTTCGTACCATACACAGTGTACGGTTTACCTCGTTCAGTACGTCACGCACAGCCTTCGCGGAAAGTGACCAATGGACCTGTGAAGGTTTGATGCGAGCGGGTTGTGACGGGCGGGCACGAATAGGTCTCTCAGGCTCTACCCAGCAGCACGCCCTCCCTCAGGCTCGCACCTCATCCATACTGTACTCCTTCACTCTCTCCCCTCTAATTCCCCAAATGTCTTCCGTTACTTCTGTTCGGCAGCCTCAGCACCCTTCTTACTCTCATTGCATCTGATCCGACCGCCCTCAATCTGTGCTATTGTTGTGTTTATGCCCATTCCCGCTATGTCCCAACCTCCACCAAAATCAGCCTGTCAACAATTTCGCGGGTTTCGATTCGACTTGCAAGTCGCGATCCGCAGATAGCGGTTCGGATGTTTTGCGGCGCGCGTACAAGGCACCACGAGATTGGTCGGAAGGATGCTCCAACAGTGACAGTTACACATGGCCATTCGATTTCGCTGGTCGGCTTCTGTTCACATATCGCATGAAGGCTGGTTGGGAGAGTTCTCGCGCCAAAACGGCTAGCCGCCCATCGCCTTTGTTCGCCTGCTTTATACGCAAGGTCTCCAACCAGGAAGCTGAGCGTCGATACCCGATATGCAAAACCTTTTTACACCAGTTCAGGTAGAGAGACGAGTCCAGCAAACCTTCCCTCATCAACAGCATACTTCCAACCATAATATGGGGCACAATCATACTGTCTTTACATGCTTTGAGCGTGTAATTCTTATCAGAGCTACTGCCTTTCCTACGCTAGTGTCAGCAGTAACTTTAAGAAACTTCACTCCCGTATGCAAAGTTATTGGCGGTGAAACACATCTACACCCCATCACTTCTGCACTTGGTGTAAATACGCACAAAGTATACACCCAGCACTTGGTTCAGGTTCACAACAAGGATGTCACTGAAGCTGGTGACATGGCTCATTGGTATTTAATCTAGCTGCAGGGCATGATGTGGCAATGCATGGTTGCTGGAGAGCAGGGTCCAAGGATGGGGGTGGAGGAGGAAGGCCAAACACCATGCGACAGCTGAAGTCCTCAAAGTTGGGCTCCATAGTGAGCGGAACACTGGCATGGGGAGAAGGGGTTGAGAGGGAAAGATAAAAGAGGAGAAATTGAGAGATATGATTCCACTAGGCACCCAGGTAAGACATGCAATGCGATACTCACTCCCTTACTTATCTGGGCTATTCCAGTTCCCCACCTTCCAGCCCTTCCCCCCATCCACCATCACATGCCCATGCACCCTCTTGTAGCCCCATGCACCCTCTTGTAGCCCCATGCACCCTCTTGTAGCCCCATGCACCCTCTTGTAGCCCCATGCACCCTCGCCCACATCCATGTAGCATTTTCACCTCCATTCGAGCACCTTGTAAAGCACTGAAACACTGTAACCCTGTAACGCTGTAGCGCAGTAGTGTCCTAATGCAGTAATACGGTAACGCAGTCCCGCCAGAACGCTGAAACGTGGTAACGCTGTGATGCGGTAACGTACCCGAGTTCATGTGTGAAGAAGTGCTGAGTGGGCATCTTGCACAGGTTAACACACATTCCCACACACCCACTCGTCTCTAGATACCTGCACCTCTCTATCTTCACACCACACTGCAACTTCACCATCTCTCCCCTTGCCCCACTCCCCGCCACTCCTTTCTCCCCCTTCTCCCGCTTCTCCCCCTCTCCCGCTGCTCCGCTGCGAAATCCCCCCTCGTCAACAGCGGGAATCTCGGCTTCTTCCACGTGGCATGGGCCCACAAGCCAGGAGAAGAACCGCGGAGTGATAGCCGCGTTGGCTTCCGCGCCCCAGTGCGAGAAGGGGAACAGGCGGCGGAACCACGCGGGGATGCGCGGAAAGCCCTGCAGCACCGCGGACCGCTGCGCCTCCGCGGAGCGCCCGCGCATGAGCGCGCGGGAAACCTCCACCATGCCCAGGTAACCCTCCGCCCACGGGCGCGCGGACTGCCATTGCGCCACGCGCCCGAAGGCTTGGCGGCAAAGGTGGATGAAGAGGAGATCAGTGAAGGAATCGCTGTACTCGGGGGGCGGGCCGAGCGGAGGGCGCGCGGACGGGCTGGCGGAAGGGCCGGCGGATGAGCTGGCGGAAGGACTGGGGGAAACGCTTGGCGGAGGGCTGAGAGGCGGAGGGGCAGGAGATGGCGCGGAGGTGGAGGGGATTTGGGGAGTGTGGGAAGATGCGCGGCTGATATTATTGTCGGACGATCCCGCACATCGGATTCTTAGGGCGGATATCGACCGTCGGTTCAATTGGGCTGGCTCGACGGTGAATTGTATTCGTCTTTGGTTTCTATTTCTCGTCAAGGAATTAAACTCTTGACGGAAATGGGGGACCGTGCGAGCCGTGGCAGCCGCGTTATGCGGCCCAGACATGCGTGCCGCGTCGAAATTCTCCAATCGGGTCGGAGTCGCATTCGCGAACGGGGAAAAGTAGAAGGTGTTCGCCGTCGCCATTGCCGCCAAGCGCCCTAGCGTGCGGCGGAGAACGATCGCTTGCGAAGCAGCCTGAGTGACTGTTTTTCACACGAATCGCGGTCCCGGACTGAAAAGCTTCAGCCCTTATGCTGAGGGCACAGATGCGGGAGCAGTGGGGCCGGCGGAATGTCAGAGGGACTGAAAAGCTTGAGCCCTGATGCTGAGCATGATGTATGGTTGAATTTCGCTAAGAGTTGCTTACCAGTATGAATGGGTGCGACGCATTGTACCCTGTTGTTCAGATCCTTCAATCGAGGACCGACTGTGATGAGTCGCGAGAAGCGTTCTTGGGTCTGTCCGATGACTCCTCCTGTCCTTCGGCCACGTGCCATTGATCAAGATTCCCGATGATTCACGCTGACATGGCATTTGCTCCACTGCCTTCCTCACACACACATCGATTTCACGTAAATTTCGCGGATCGCAAATTCGATTATCGCACCGCGCGATTCCACATCGATGCTCTCCGCGCATGCCCAACAAACACCTCGTTCCCTCACTCCCCACCCAAACTCCGCGCCTTCTATCCGTGCAAATATGGCGCGCCAATGCCCCCTTATTAAAGCTCCGGTATACATTTGACAGGAAGGGTTCAAAATCCTTAGGAACTTGAAAAGTTGCCCCAAAACTGTGAGGGACACTCACAAACCCTAAACCCCACTGACAAATGTAGACTCCGGCTTTAACAAGGCCTTCCCCCTTCCGCTCCCATCCTTTCCTCCCACCCTGCATGCGAGGAAAAACTCGCAGGAAGACAACCTCAACCTATTTTAAACCCTTTCAACTCATTGCAACTCATTCCAACCATTCTCCCTACCAGATCGGCTCGACACATTGGAATCCACAGAGAGCCCCAACTGCAGCACTTCAAAAAGCTTGCCCACATAAATTCCGCACACCCCCTCGCGGCACCAGATAAGTACATGCCACCAGGACGCCAGGCTCCTCCGCAACCACAGCTTCCAGTCATATCAAGTACGTAGCCACCGCCGCCACCGTTTCAGCAGCAGTAGAAAAGTACTCCCGACGTGCGCAATGGCAGTCCTCGGTGCCGTACACAATGGCTTCCTCGCGTCGCCCCTCGCCTCCGCACAGCCCGCCGCGACTTCCGGCCATGATGGCTGCGGGTCTTTCACTTCGTCTCAGAACGCGCGAACGCCCTTCGCCGTTTCCGCTTCCTCGCGCCGCTTATTACTACCCTCGGCGGGATCCGCCGCTCCCGCCGCGGGGCCGTCTACTCTTTCGCCGAACCTAGTACTACGACTCTCAGGGCACTACCCGCGTCACGTTAACAAGCGATCACCGACGGTAACGGTAACGGCGACATCAACGGCGACGATTCCGAGTTACGGCATACCAGGCTACTCGAGCCCTGCTGCGGAAGATCCGGCGAAAATCGTGGGCAGTCATGTCCCTGCTGCACGGCCCTACTCTAGCCCTGCGGCCGGCGCTTCTGGCGGGGGAAAGACGAAGCAGGGTCCAAAGCGCGGCGACTCGAAGATTGAGTTCCGGAACCCGTGGTCATATCAATCTCCGAGCGACTATGCATCGCCGAGGAGGTGAGCTTCGTCGCACGGAGTGGTTTTGAGACGTCTCAAAACCACCCTTCTTTCAGGCGACTATGCATCGCCCAGGAGGTGATATTCGTCGCACGGAGTCGCATGGGCGGTGATCGTTGCGTGAAAAGATTCTACTCTTTCGCATCCGTTGCTGCTCCTGTAGTCTCCAGATTTGGTTTCCGTAGTTCGTACAAGAGAGTACCAACTAGTTTTCACAAGCGCTGTGATCTACCAAGCAGTACATAAACTCGTCACCGTGATTCTTACAACACATCCATCATATTCACATGGACTCATGCCAGCAGATCCACTGCCTTTAATCCGTCGCTGAACACTTTTCCCCGCCCCTCTCATCCCTTCTCATCCCCTCTCGCCCCCCTCGTTCTGTCTCGTCCCCCTCGTCTCCTCTCATACCCTCTCATACCCTCTCATACCCTCGCATACCCTCTCATACCCTCTCATACCCTCTCATACCCTCTCATACCCTCTCATTCCCTCTCATTCCCCCTCATACCCTCTCATTCCCTCTCATTCCTTCTCGTCCCCTTCTCGTTCCCCCGCCCCCGACTGCATACCCCCCGCCCCCCTTCTCCCTCCCGCGGCCCTCTCGTCCAGCTATGTCAGCCCACAACCATACGGCATTCGCCTAACCACGGCGCACGTGGCGCCGCCTAAACCGTCCGCACCCACAGCCTCCCCCGCGCCGCCGACTCCCGCCTCCCCCTCCTCCACCTCCGCCTCCGCTTCCGCCTCCCCCGCGGCGCCGCCCTTGCTGTCCGCGGCTCTTTCCGCCGCGGAGGGCGCGGTCAAGGAGCGCGGAGGGGCGTTCCTGTGGGGATGGGCGGAGAGGGGGCTTGGGGTAGTGGCGGGGTCGCTGGCGCGCGTGTGGGTTTCTGTGGGGGCAGTGGCGGTCGCTGTTGCAGGTGCGCGCGTGGGGCGGGCGGGCGGAGATGGGGGAAACGGGGACCGTAGGGGAGAGTGGGAATGGAAGGGGGAATTACATATGGAAGCGAGGAGGGAGGGAGCAGAGGGTAGGGGGATGGGGGTGAATAAGAGCGGTTAGAGACAGTAAGAGGAGTGAGTGTTTGATGCTTGCAATGAGGCGATCCCTGTGCTTTGAGACGTCTCAAAACACGCCTAGTCTCATGGCTGCATGCAATGAGGCGATCTCTGTTTGCATTGCAACAGATGCTATATGAGAGCTTCTTGTTACCCCGCTTGATTCTCACTGCTCACTGCTCACTGCTCACTGCTCACTGCTCCCCCGCCCCCTTTTCCTCTATCTTTCAGACCCAAATCCCTCTACCTCGCAAGTCCCACTATCGCCCAGATAACAACCCCCCCCCCCATTCCTCTTCCCCCTTGTCCTCCCCTTCTCTGCTGTTACTTGGATCGCGAGGTCATCTTTGATTCTTGACTAAACAAAAACTCCCCAATCCTTCCCTCCTCCCCCCTCTCTTTTACAGTCTCTGCTGCGGTGCGCTTGCTGCTCTCCCGTTCTCTCCCCGCCGTGCTTCCCGCGCTGCTCGCTGCTGCGACCCTCGCGCTCGCCTCCGCCCTCCTGCCCTCGCAACCTGTCCTCTCCTCGCACACCATCACCGGTGAGAAACACACGTCACTGCTGCCATCGTGCTTCTACCATCACCATCACATATTACAGCAGGGCAGGGCGCTTCTGCCCTCCTGCTGTCCTGCCCTCGCAACCCGTCCTCTCCTCGCACACCATCACCGGTGAGAAACACACGTCACTGCTGCCATCGTGCTTCTACCATCACATATTACAGGGAGGGGGGGGGACTCTTCTGCCCTCCTGCCCTCGCAACCTGTGCTCTCCTCGCACACCATCACCGGTGAGAATAACGTTCTACTGCTGCCACCGCGCTTCTACCATCACCATCACATATTACAGCGGGGCAGGGCGCTTCTTTCCCCTAGTTTTGCCCTCCTGCCCTCGCAACCCGTCCTCTCCTCGCACACCATCACCGGTGAGAAACACACGTCACTGCTGCCATCGTGCTTCTACCATCACATATTACAGGGAGGGGGGGGGACGCTTCTGCCCTCCTGCCCTCGCAACCTGTGCTCTCCTCGCACACCATCACCGGTGAGAATAACGTTCTACTGCTGCCACCGTGCTTCTACCATCACCATCACATATTACAGCGGGGCAGGGCGCTTCTTTCCCCTAGTTTTGCCCTCCTGCCCTCGCAACCCGTCCTCTCCTCGCACACCGTCACCGGTGAGAAGCACACGCCACTGCTGCCATCAAAGGCCTCAAAAACCTCTGCCCTCCTGCCCTCCTGCCCTCCCGCCCTCCCGCCCTCCTGCCCTCATCACACACCGTGATGGGTGAGAAGCATCGCATTGTTGGTGACCTTTGAGGCGCCTCAAAAGCCATCGCATTGTTGCTGTCATCAGTGTGAAGAGAAAACTTCAAAGCACACATCATCGTCACTCCTAAAGATCTATTGGTTATCGTCGACACTCATTGTTGATTACTCCGCCTCTCCTCTCCTCTCCTCTCCTCTCCTCTCCTCTCCTCTCCTCTCCTCTCCTCTCCTCTCCTCTCCTCCCACCCCTTCTCTCCTCCATTCCTCTCCTCCCACCCCCCCTCCTCCCCTCTTGCTTACTCCCACCCAATCCCCCAGCCATTCTCTCATACGTCCTCTTCGCCTCACTGCAAGGCGCCTTCTCCTCCCAGCCCACATCACCACTGGTCCTAGGCCTCCCGGCCTTCCTGGGAGCACTCCTAGCAGCACCGGCACTGCTCTACAATATCGCACATGCCCACGCTGCCACCACTGCTGCTGCTTGATGGATGGGTAAGGGGGGCTATGACGAAAGGAGGGACGGAAGGGGTCGACTTTCGAGTCGACTCAAAAATCGAGCCACCACCTGTGGTGGGGCTTGACGGAGGGGAGAGGGGCTGTGAAGAAAGGTCGGAGAGAAGGGATCATATGGAGAGGAGTGGGTTGAGATGCAGCAGAGATAGGGGATGGGGTGCAGCAGAGTAGCTGGGTGTGTGCTGCATAATACTGAGATAGTAGTATACTGGGGTAGTGGGAGGGAGTGCTTGAGATGAGGGATGTTTTATGGGTGCTGCTTGCTTTAGGGGAGGGCTGTACACATGACTGGCGCTGCTCTGTTATGTTGTTGCATCTTGGTGCATGTATTCCTGTATATAACGCACATGCTTTATACGGTAATACCATAGGCATTTCATGGTAATGTGTGGCAAGATTTGTGGACAGGACGGTCTTGTACTGCTTTTTACCATAACACCGAGCTTTGTGCATATTCATCAGGTACTGTAACTAGACTGTTTCCAGCTGGAAACATGTTACAAGGATGACAATTGGAACAACCCTTTCTTCGGATTTCTCTGACTTCCAGACTTGACATTGAAACACCAACCAACTGTAATCACAACCCCCAGTCTCCATGTGCGGGACATTTGGTTTTAAATACAATCAAACGCCGCTCCACTCACAAAACCCTTCACACACGTGTGTTCACAAACATGTGTCGAGACCGTCACTAAGCAAGCCAACAACAAGCGAGGCAGGCACTCACTAAAAGAGGAAAAGAAGGGGGGGGGGGGGGAGTGGGGCTGCAAGCCTATGCAAGTTGGGGATTGCCGCTGCCTGCCAAACCACCAGTGTCGTTGCTATCAGCAGCAGCAGCAGCAGCAGCAGCAGCAGCAGCAGCAGCAGCAGCAGCAGCAGCAGCAGCAGCAGCAGCAGCAGCAGCAGCAGCAGCAGCAGCAGCAGCAGCAGCAGCAGAAGCAGAAGCAGAAGCAGCAGTAGCACCGGAAGCACTAGCAGCAGCAGTCTCAGCAGCAGGAGGCGCATGAACAGTGTTTTCATTCCAAGTGAAGGTCAGGTGGTTCCAGTCTGGAAAGGACTTCCGAGCCTCCTCCAGAGCGCTGCGGCGCCGGAGCAGCACCAGAGGCTCGGGGTTGCCGAACCTGTCGGTGGCGGCAGGCACGGCGGAGACTGCGGAGCGATCATAGCTGCCGTCGCCTCGTATGGTGCGAGGGTTCTTCCACCTCCACTCGAACTGGAAGGCTGGGGACAGGCAGGACACGAGAGGGGGACGGCAGAGAGAGGTTATGGGATGGTGGTAGCTGCTGAACGGTACAAGGGTTTTTAAATCCTCCACTCGAACTGGAAGGCTGGGGATGCAGATGAATGGCAAGGGAGAGGGAGGGAGAGGAGTGAAGGGAGAGCGGAGAGGCGAAGCGAGACTACGATGGGGTTTGCGATAGGGGTTTGCGATAGGGGTTGGTGGTCCTGGTTGCAACGTTGCTGCCCCCGCCACGGAGCTACGGTGACTTTCAAGTCGGCATATTGAGCCGACTGAAAATGACCCTTCCAAATCCAATGGAGTTTCAGTGACTTTGAGTCGACTATCTTTGCTCGAAAATGGCCTCTTCAATGGAGGTCCGGGTACGAACCTAGACATTTATTCTCACGCATTTCATTTCAACCAGGTGGCGTCACCTAGCGTTGCTCACCCATTCCCTCCCTCCCTCCCTCCCTCCCACCCCCATCCCCATCACCCCCCCTTTCCCCCCCTTAACCCTCTCCCTCCCTCCCTACCTCCACTGCACACACCAGCGCCCACCAGCCACCTGTGCATGTCCTGCGCTCGTGATAGCAGTTGAGTCTCGAGACATGAGGGCAGGGCATGCACCGTGTATGACGTTGCCGTCCCAAATCTCAACTTTCATCACACCATCGCCCATCAAGCCACCCGTGCATGCCCTGCCCTCTAAACCCCCTCGTGCTGCAAGCAACTACCCTTGACCCTTGCACTACTACTAACGCACCGACCTCCATGCCCCAGTCACTCCCCCATCTTAGTCCCCCCTTCTCCTCACCTTCAAAACCCAGACACACACCCCTTCCATCACGCCCCCTTCCTCCCCCTTACCCCTCTTCCCCCCTTTCTCCCCCTCCCTACCTTCACTGCGTGTGCGGAAGCCCTTCACTGCGCCCACCAGCGCCCACCAGCGCCCACCAAGACGCAGACACACGTGCAGTGCATCCCCTTATGCAAAGCAAGCCCGCCCTGCCCCCCTCTCCCCACCTCACCTTCACTGCGTGTGCGGAAGCCCTCCACTGCGCCCACTAGCGTCCAGGGGCGGCCTGCGCGCGTTGACTTGGCTCCCCCCACCACCTCGCCGTTGTGCTGCTTCACACTGGGAAGGGGAGAGGGGGGGGGGAGGGAGGGGAGGGGAAGTGGGGCAAGTGGAAGAATTGGGTTGGGGTAGGGGGGGACGGGGGTGGAAAAGGGGAAGCGGGGAGGGGTGAGAAAGAGGGGAGCGTGTTGACTTGGCTCCCCCCACCGCCTCGCCAATGTGCTGCTTCAGCCTGAGCGGTGGGGGGGAGGGTTGGGGGCGGAAAGAAGGATTGAAAGGAAGGATTGAAAGGAAGGAAGAAGGGAGGGAAAAGGGGTGAAAATTTGGAGAACGGGTTGACTTGGCTCCCCCCACCGCCTCGCCATTGTGCTGCTTCAGCCTTAGCGGTGGGGAGCAGAGGGCAGCGGGGAAGGAAGAGGGGGAGGGCGGAGGCGAAGGAGGGGGAGGAGGGGGAAGGAGGCCAAGGGGGAGGGGGGGCAGCCCTTTTGTGTGGATTCAACCGGCACGAGTTGACTGTAACCCCGCCAGCACTGGGGAGGAGGAAGCAGGGGGAGGGGGGGAGGGCGAAGGATGGAAAGGAGGGGACCCAGCCCTTTTGTGTGGACTCAACTGGCACGAGTTGACTTGACACCCCCCACCACTGGGGAGGTGGAAGCAGGGGGAGGGGGGGAAGGCGAAGGAGGGAAAGGAGGGGACCCAGCCCTTTTCAGTGGACTCAACCGGCAGGAGTTGACTTGACCCCCGCCACCACTGGAGAGGTTTCGGCATTGTGCTGCTTCACACTGGGGAGGGGAGGGGGGGGAAGGGGGGAAGTGGGGGAAGTGGGGGAGGGGGAGAGGGGGAGAACGAGGGATGCGGACAAAAGGAGGATGGAAGGAAGGAAGGAAAGAGGGAAAGGGAAGGACGTAAGGGGGGAGGGGAAGAGGGTTGAGAGAGTGGGGTTTTGCAGAGGGGGCAGCAGGGTTGGGGGAGGAGAGGGAGGCAGAAGGGGAAAGGGGTAGGGAGTGGGGGGAGACAGGGCGAAGCGGAGAAAAGGATAGGGGGGACAAGGGGCTTGGGGAAGTGTTGACTAACCCCGCCCGCACTGCCATGCACTAAACCGCACTGAACCGCACTAAACCGCAACGCTCGCATCGTCCCGAAACTAGCTCGCCCCGCTGCTGCTTCACGCTGACTCTCCGTCGCGCAAGGAACGGAAGTGGGGGAAGAGGGAGAGGGGGGGGAGAAGGGGGGTTGGTGGTAGGGGGAAGGGGGAGAATGGGGAGTGGGCTATCCAGAAGAGTAACGAAAGGTTTCATAAGCAAGCAAGCATCGCTCCCATGTGAAGCCATGACCACTAAAGGGGTGTTCGCTCAGCAGTTACGATAGGGGCTAGCTACGACACAACTTTTGAAGAGTCTCATCCGCGCCGCTTCCCCCGTCTGCGCGCTTTCCCCGTCGGCGCTGCCCCTCCCCGTCGGCGCTGCATTCTCACCAGCATGAGCCGTTCTCCACTCTGTTTACATTCGTCGCACCGTCTGCTGCACTCAAACGACTCAAAAGCCGCTCTCACCGTCTGCGCTCTTCTCTCACCGTCACTGCTCTGTCACTCACCGTCGCCGCTCATCTCTCGCGCTCACCGTCTCTGCACGTCCATCGTGACACCGACGTAGGTCTTTCGGCAGTCCGCCGACAGCAGCAGATACACGCTCCACGTCCCGCTGCCCTCCTCCTCCTCCTCCTCAGAAGACGACAAACCACCCGCCGCGAATGCCGCCGCAGATGCCGCTCCCGCTCCCACTCCCACTCCTGCGCCTGCTCCCGTTCCCGCTCCCGCTAAACCTCCCTTCCCCCCCGCTGCCCCCGCTCCTGCCCCCGAGCTCCTCCCGCCTCTGCTCCCCACGCCCTGCGCTCCGCGCCTTCCGCGCCCCCCCTCCTTTCGCGCGCCCTCCGCCCTTCCCCCCCACAGCCCTTCCAGCTGCTGCCCCAAGCCCTCCTCTCCGCCGCTCTTCCCCCGCTCGCGCCCTCGGCGGATCCCCAACCCGCCGAAGTCTAGCCCGGGAAATGCGCCGAGGCCGATATTTATTCCCGGGCTGCCCGCACTATCCGGTGCGCCCACCTGCCCGGGCGCGGAAGAGGTGAATGGGAGGTGCGGGGGCGGAGGCGCAAGGGGCTGGTCTAGGGGAAACGGCGGGGAAGTGGCGGGAATTGGAGGTGATTGCGCGGGGGCGGAGGCGGTAGAGGGGGAGAATGGGGAAGGCGGCAGTTGCTCCGGAAAAGGCGGGAGAAAGGGAGCAGCGGTAGGGGAAGGAGGCATGAACATAGGGCTAAATTCGAAATCATCCAGGCCGTAACGGGCTAAATCCTCGTATCCGTCGAGCCCCCCGGTTCCCCCCCCCGTTCCGCCGTTGCCCCCGCCTCCTCTTCCGCTCCCCCTACCGGGAGTTCCGCGCACGGCAGCGCAACAGCATAGCCTCCCCGCATGGGCAATCTGCTGACGTGGATTAGAAGGGTGATGTGGGAGTGTGGTGGTAACTACGGAGGTTCCTGGAATTGCGGGAGACGACGAGTGTGCGGGATCGTTCGAACGAGACGAACGCGGGAGATGCGGCGGTTTCAGCGAGGCGGTAGCCATGGCGGGGATCCACTGGCGAAGGCTACGCGTAGTCGCAATTCGTGGGAAAAAGGTGCGA